TACTTCCATCCATCCTTCCGAGGCGACGCTAACCACAAATCCTTTGCTCGTACAGCTATTTAAAAATATTTTATATACATATTACATATTACCTTAGGGCTAACGCGGAAAATTGCCGGCGACCCTTTTGATCATTAACGCAAGGGTGCCCTTCATAATCTTTTGCAACGAAAACATTGCGGTGTCTTTCTTTGTGACAAAGAATTAGACACCGAAATGTTTTCGTTGCAAAACATTATGAAGTGTGTGTACGAAGARAGAGAGAGAGCAAAGAAAGGGGAGGGGGAGGGGGAGGAGAGAGCGGGAAGGGGAAAGAATTTATAGGACAATTATTTAATATGATTGTAATTAGTATTTATCAGTAGTCCAGAAGGACCAACATGTAGATAAATACCTGATAAATACATAATGATAATAATGACAACGCATCTATTGTGTATTTCGTATATACATAGTTACAAGTTTAGCTAGGACCAGATTTTATTGTTATCTTAAAATTCGTTTCAGAATTCATTGATTCTATTTCCGATATCGTTTGAACTGCAACTGTGATTTCTTTTCTTTGAGGCATTCTATGCGGTTCAATTAAATAAAAACAACAAAAATATAACTGAATATAAAAATCTCCAACCTAAGTCAGGGTATGTCTAGCTCACAGATTAAACTGGATTTTAGATTGTTAGGTTTTGTGGAGGGAGGAAAACCGTAGAAAAATACTTGTAGCACAGAATATATAAAACCTATAAGCAACTCTACTKACTAACACGCGACGACGAGCCCTGCGGGACTCTCAACGCTACCTACGCTAATCGTGCTTCCTACACATATCTTACATACATTTTATTAAAACTGAAACGAATACAAAGCATATTATATTTAGAGGGGAAAACGGCTATCCTAATGMATATTTACAAGCAACATGTTGGACAGGAAAACCTTTCAATTTTTAAGCCTTGTTTAAGTTTGCTTATGAAGGGCGGGCCTTAGAGGCGGGAAGAGCCCATTGGGATCCATAGAAAGTCAATATACTTCCATCCATCCTTCCGAGGCGACGCTAACCACAAATCCTTTCTCGTACAGCTATTTTAAAATATTTTATATACATATAACATATTACCTTATGGCTAACGAAAATTGCGACCCTTTTGATCATTAAAGCAAGGGTGCCCTTCATAATCTTTTGCAACGAAAACATTGCAGTGTCTAATTCTTTGTCACAAAGAAAGACACCGCAATGTTTTCGTTGCAAAAGATTCTGAAGAATCGGAGCTTAAGTTTAATCTATTTAACATTTTACAGGAAGAATCCATTAGGATCCTGGCATCGCTAACGACAACTACTTTCTCGTAAAGCTATCTCAATATATGTATATACATATATATTACCTTTATTTATTTGAAAACACATTAGTAACCTTAATATAATTTAACAAAAGGCAATTGCAATTCTTATTCAGAAAGCTTTCCACATCGAAAACGTCCTGTATTTTGCTTTTGCTTTCGTAAATTTCATGTCCATTTTTATTTTCAATTCTGGCTTTACAGGTTATTACAGACCTTGTCAGACTTAGAGTGATCGTCACACTGAGCTATCCCCCGCTACCTTACGTCTCACCTTCCCAGTAAATGCCTGTGAGAAAACGTGTTCTGCACCAAGCTCTAGAAAATTAGATCTTACAATGAGAAAATATCACCCGGGTGTGATTGGAGTTCYTTTACAGTGAAGGAATTTAAAACCGAGAAATGAAAAATATACTAGTTAACATGTTATAGTCAAATAGGCACTAAAGAAGACAATGGAATTAGGGTCTACTAATGTGATTATTAGTCTAATATCTATTTCACTCTTTGTGCAGTATTGTGTGATCAGTATCTTAGCAAGACAAACAATTTTTTTCCTCCTAATAAACTTCCTCGACTCGGGCGTAATGTTTTCCTATTTTGGACCACGTTTCATTCCTTTSMGAACAAGATTCTTTGTTTGRBTTGTATCCATATTCAAGTGTCTTCTCYTGAGCAACCGAGTGTAACCGTTAAACAAGACATGGTCTAAAATGGTAAAACAATATGCTTGAGCAGAGAAAGTCCATTTACTTATGCTATACACTCAATATGCGGACAAAGCAGAAATACGGACAAGGCTGCTACTTTCGCAATCTTTTCTTTCTCTCTGATTCATGCTAAGAAACCGTTAGTGTTTCATTCGCGTCTCTTGTGCTTTAAATTTTTCACAAAATTCTGCTCAGAACCTCGGGCAATTCTACTTYGAGGTATTAGCGAAAATGTTAGTTTTTGTGCTGATCAAAATATCATCTCTCCCAACATTGAGGGCGTTATATCTCAAATACGCATTCCTTTAAATTCCCCAAATTTTGATATTTYGTTCATCAGCCCCAAAAGAGCTTGTTATGAAATATAAAGCTTATTAACGAATAAACGTCGAAAGTAGAACCCGTTTTTCTGCCCTGCCGTCTGTGTCGTCGTATGTGTCTCTCCCGCCAACGCCAAACCATCAATCGTCTGATGAAGACCACGGGTGTTGGTCTCATAGCGCCGCTGTTATGTACCATTTAAAAAAAATGCTTTCTTGCGAATAAAGAATAGTTAAAAAACAAATATGATAATACAGATTAAAGGCATTTTTAGGCTTCAAATTTAAGTTAGGCTAGGGAATTTTGTAAACTTTATCTTTATAACATGCACAAACGCAGAAACAATAGCGAACCATGCTAATCACTTTTGCAACAGTTTTCCAGATAGAATTAAATCTAGTTCCACGAACAACTACACAGTACCTGTTTTAAAGAGTCTAAAAGGTTTATAAAGCAATTTTATATTATTTTCACAGGACAATMAACAATAGAAACAACTAAAATTWATTTTCACCCATCGGAGTTTTTAATCCTGAGAAATACGCTAGCGGCAGTCGTGGCATAAACTATTTTTATAATATAATTATCTAAATTTTCACGAGTTTCATATTTACGTCGTCGAAAACCACTTTTATATAGATACGATAGCCTACCAATCTTTTATTGCACATGGAAATTGCCTTACTATTTTTGAAAACTATTGAAAAATGGTACGTTCATGTAAAGCTAGTGCTCCTCAAATTTGATGCTAATGAGCGAGCCTCAAGGAAATGCATGGTGGGTCATAAGAGGAAAGCGGTGAACATTCTTTGACAGTACAGGAACAAGGGYAGCTTTGTCGGTAATAGAGGTCATTACACTGCTAGTTTGTGTTTTACAGCCACATAATTTTACGAGTGAAAACGGCCGTATTTTTTCGAGCCCCGCAGGGACGAGAAAAAATACAGTTTCATGATTAATTTTGTTCACGATCTCGAACCACTGACGTGGACACTAGAGAGAAACGTTTGCGCATGCGTGCATTTCAGCACGTCGTCTAAGAATTTTGAAGAGTTCGAGTGARAAAATAAATGTTTGTTTTCTCCAAGTATACAAAAAATTTCGCGAGTATACTTTTGTCAGACCACGATACTTTATCAAATTACACAATATGAAAGAATTAGCCTTAAGTTTCAAGCATGGACACTAAGTTTTAGCATTTTGTGAAGTCCAATTTATCAGGCATGTTTGAAAGTCAAATTCACATATGATTYGACTAATTCACATAAGGATTCAGAGCATGCGCAGACGTTTTTCACTCGTGTCACTGATGTGAGCTGCACAAACGAAAAGGAGAAATTTTTCTCGTACTGACATCAGCAAAAAAAGTAGTTCAAAACCGGTTCACAAAACTGTGTATAGTGTTATCGCTCTGTAATTGGACTCGGAAAATGGTCGTTATACACGGGAAATTGAGTGTGTCGTATAATAAATTGCCATTAAGACAGTTTGTAGTGATAGATCTCCTTGATCAATTACGAGAATTTTAGTTTTCTATCTAGTCCCTTCTGTCCAATCTAAACTTACGATACCCTTAARGCAAAGCTTGAAAATGTGAAGAGAATGACATACGTTGAAGCGACGACGGATCCCATGTAAGAGCACTTCAAGGTGAAAGGACTAATAATAATAATATTATATTCATTTGCAAAACTATCTTCATAGACATAAAAAATAAACCGAGGGCAAACAAAGTAGCTGAATTGATGTTGAAATAAATACTGATTTGCCTACATGTACAATTTTTTTAAATCATTCGCAAACAGCTGTAAAAAAAAATAACCC